GTGCGATAAACAAACAGGAATTTTTTTTTAAAAAAATCTGGGAAGGATTTTCTGATTTGCAATTCAAAAAAACAAAACAATTAATATGTAATGAGAAGCCATAGGCATTTTTCTGACAGTTGGGTGGGTCATGCGAGAATAAATAGGAAATGTTGAGCGTACTCAAAACGAACCTAGAAAATCTGTTTACCAGAATAAACGTGCACATTCCACCAACCTGGATTCGTTGCAGCTTTAATGTCTGTCTGGCTCAGTCAGAATACTCTCACCGAGGGGTTGTTTGAAGGTTGTCGGTTCCAACCCTTCAAGACTCGAATTCACAGTCCAGGTTGACATTCCAGTTCGCAGGTTTGGGAGCATTGCCTTCAGACGAGGTGGTAAATGAAAGTCCTGTCTGTGTGACCCTCCGGTAGATGTTAAAGGTCGACTCGCACTTTTGGAGAAGAGAAAGGAGTTTCTCCCAGTTTCCTGGCCAGCAGTGCTCCAGTTGAATTGGGATTCACTTCAAGGCTAATTGTGGGACTTTTCTATGTGCACGTTGGCTATCAAATTGGAACCTTTCCACATTATAGGAGCTAAACCAAATGCAAGGATTTATTATTTATAATTTGATCTAATGTATATAATAATAATAATAATAATCATTGCATTTGATATAGTTCCTTATCATGTCTTCGAGACGTCTCAAAGCGCTTCACAGAATATACTGTAAAGCGAATTGACTGTATATTTTGTGGGCGAAACTGTATAAGATGTAAAACTCTCATTGTCTTGGTCAAATCACAATTTCTGTACTTCTTCCAACTAAAGCAACTCCATTCACAACATGCCCTGTGGCTGATAGAGAGTGACAACAACAACAACAACAAAATTACATTTGGATCGCGCCTTTCACGCCAGGAGGATGTCCCAAGGGATCGGAGAGGGTGGAGGGCAGGGAAGGGAAGAAGGGTGACCGGAGGCACTGTCGAAGAGGAGGGTCTTACGACGGAGTTTGAAGGAGGCAAGGGATGGGGCGAGGCGGAGGGATTACGGGATGAAGTTCCAGAGCGTAGGGGCAGAGTGGCAGAAGCCCCTGCCCGCCAATTTTGGGGCGGGCGAGGCGGGGGACGTGAAGCAGGCCGGAGCCCACTGAGCGGAGTGAGCGGGCAGGTTAGGAGGGGTTTAGAAGGTCGAGGAGTTTAATGATCTGTGTTAAATCAACGGCTGTAATCTCTCCAAAAACGCTGAGGGTGCTGGAGGGGGAATCATAGGATAAATAAAATCTGCTGAAGAATTCCACCTTCCTGTGGAACAAACGCACCCTTGAACCCTTTCATGAACCGAATCGAAAGGAAACCAGCAAGCCGAAGATTGTTTTGAAACCTGGATATTTTATTGGTCATTGTTGGTCAGTTGCAATGTCCGTGAACCTTCTGGGGTGTTATTTGAAGGACTGACCGGTTATTTTCAACACGCACGCACCACAGTTTTAACAGCAGGAGCCAAAGTTAGCAGTGCTCACGATTCAAGGGGATGGAATTTCAAAAGGGTTGACTTGGTCTTTCGAAGCCTGTGGTAAAAATCCCTGAAATACAATTGGAAACATTCGCACAACACCTATCACTTTGTAATCCCATTTCTCTGGGCTGCGTCTCAGTTTCCTGTTTTGCCCAGCAATGATGACAGTGCTTGCTGGGAACTGAGTTGATAAAGTCACATTAGCTGCCAGGCTAATGCCCTGCTAATCTTCTCTCAGCAACGTCGAACGCAAATGGCTCTGCTGCGAATAATCCCGCAACCCTGGGGAGGCCTCGCTGTAAAATCCTTTCCCTTTCACTTGTGTAATCTGCTTGAGGTGCAATGTCACATATTCCTTTTCAGCAAGACCGGGTCCTTGTACTTTCAGCGGCAACAAGGATTCCGTATTTAGACAAAACAAATGCTCGGCTCTGTACAGTTGTGTTACACCAAATGCTCGGACTGTTTTCAAGTCAAATGCTCGTACGACTGTGAAGGCACAGCTGCGCAAACATTAACTAGAGTGGTTCGAATGGCCTTCGGCCCATTTTATCTCATCCTTCCAGAATTCTCATTGCAAGGTCGAGCTATGGCTTCAATGAACCCCTGGCTGCCAAGACCTGTTCCTGGCAACCTGTCGTAGCTACTTTTACACCCTGTAAACAAATACTTCCTGGTGGCTGTCCTAAACATGCGCTTCACCACACGGAACGTTAAATGTAAGTGTGCGCAGTTTTTTTCCGAGATAGCGGAGTGTCACGTGTGAGTATTTAAGCTGACACTCCAGTATCGAGCTCACAGTCTAGTTGCTGGTAATGTTTCACATTGTTGGAGGCGCCATCTTTCAGATAAGACATTTATCCGAGGTGCTCTCTTCCTGTTAAGGTGGACAGTAAAGATCCCATGGGCAGTATATGAAAAGAGAAGAGAGTTTCTCTTTGTGTCCTGACCAACAGTCCTCAATATAAAATGACAGTGTTGCATCAGCATAAAGGAGAAGCACATACACAGATCAGCACCTGAACCAGTAAGCAGTTTCACAGCAGGAATTAATGTTTACTTTATGATTCCTGTAAACCCTGAACACAATTAATATTTGATTGTGTCTATTAAATGGCACATTCCCCACCCCCAAACGTTTAACCTTTTTATAAATAATGGAGGCACTTTAGGTACAGTAAGTCCTTATTGCAATGATGTTATCCGTAGTTCAGCGATAGCGCAGCAATTATAATTGCAGTAGCTGTAACACGGGCACGGCTTTTTTATTGTAGGCGTAATATCAAAAGGATTTAACATAATAAGAGAAGTATTTAAGTATACACCGGCAGCAGAATGGTTCTCAAAGCCACCGCTTTGGGTGACATTTAGAAACTCGCCAACAAAATACCAATGAAGGTCACGAGTAGACAGACAATTGCGCCCGGCTTTGTGTATGTTCATGAAAAGCTGTGATGTAAAGGAAAAAGAGAGAAAACACAGATCACACTTAATATTCGACGGTCCGACGCAGAATGAAACTTGCTCATTGTCACTGATGCCCTTGATACACAGTACCCAGACAACAAGTGGTCTCAGCATAGAGCAGCCCGGCAGGGTTTTCGTTGGGCAAAGTGGTATGGCAGTACACGCGCATTATAGTACTGTGCTTTGGTTACGAAGAGAAGATGCCTAGCGGCTTGGATTCCTGGTTTCCACCCAGGTGGCCAGGTTCAAGGAATCGCATGGGCCAAACCGTTCTCCACCTGAACCAATCTTGTGACGGTCCGACCTCTTACCACGAAAGAAGCAGATGACACGGATGCATTCCCGGCTCTGCTGCTGCTCTCTGACACTATGATGCCGGATCCTGAGGTCAAGATTCACATCAAACACAGGCCATGCCCTTCCTTTTAGTACATGGTACTGAAAAGCTTGCAGCTGCTCGTTTCAAAGAATCATAGCCTGTGTCAAACACACACAGCGTCAGTCTCAGTGGCTTTCCATGACAAAGCAACAGATCTTCTCTATCTGGACGTTTTGGTGCAGCGCACATTCTCAATGTCGAGTTGTTTGCTTTTTGGTCAGTTGGGTATCGTGATGCGCGTGGAAACTCAATACCGTATTTAAGAGTCTCCAAACCACCTGGAGTTCTGTAGCGAATTGGTTAGGAGCGTTGCCCCACAAGCGACAGGAACCCAGGTCCGATTCTCAGGCAGAGCGAGACGTTAGTCAAGTTTCATAAACTTTTCATGAACCTTAGGCAAATCCTCCGTGTGATTGTGTCTTCGAGACGCCTCAAAGCACTTCACTTGGAGCCGAGCGCACTGATCAATACCCTACAGGACTCTACGTAGAGCCCCTCGGATGATCATGGAGTAAAAATGTTCCTTTAGCTCGAAGCAACGTTTTTGAAAGCGGATAACTAGCAACGCATAATATTCAACTAAGTCTCTTCATGTCATAGAAATGTTTTGAGCGCAGGATATGTTTTCCAAGTAAGATTGAGCTGTTTAAGTAACAGCTTATGCTGTAGTGGGAAGATGTAAGGATGGGTGTTCTGGAAGAATGAGATCAAAGTGATGTTCTCAGTTGTTAATAATCATAATCCGAATCTTTAAAAAACCTTGCATTTGGTATATAGTGCTTTCACATCAGGAGGTTGTCTCAAAACGCTTCACAGTGTTTACTGTGAAGTGGTGTGGCTGTGTATTTGAGGGCAAACGCACCAGCCCAATTGCACAGGGCAATAATAATAATAATAATAATAATAATAATAAGTGCTTCACAGAATATACTTCAAAGTGAATTGGCTGTATATTTTGTGGGCGAAATGCGGCAGCCAATTGGGCACATCAGTGTCCCACAAACAGTCATGGATTGAGTGACCACATTTTTTTTAAGGGATTATTACCCCCGGAAAAGCGATCCGCCAATCGACTAACAACCGGGTTCCTACTTACTGTTGGATAAACAGAGGCGTGTGGAGTAAGGCAACTTGCCCAACATTTCCCGCTGCTGGGAATCGAACCCAGGTTCTCCAGGCGAGTGTTCTAACCACTAAGCTACAAGATTCCTCATGCCCACACACAGCCATGAAACAAATGATCAGTTTTATTTGGGGGCCTGTTGGCCAGGAGGACATCAGTAGAAACTCTCTTCTCTTTTTGAGTGGTGCTATGGGATCTGAACGGGCAGAGGGAACTCGGACTAACTTCTCATCTGAAGGACGGCACCTCCAACAATGCAACGTCCCCAGCACTGCACTGGAGTGTCGGCCTAGACTAGGTGGGTTCCAAGTCCTGACGTGGGGCTTGAACCAACAGCCTTCTGACACAAGAAGCGAGAGTGCTATCAACTGAGCCAGGCTAACACGCTTAAAAAGTCGGTGCAAGTTATTGCATACAGTGAGAGAGATTTACGTATCATTGGTTGTGTTACTCCGCAGCACAGTTCCTCTCGTGTACTGATTGCAGGACCTTCCGCAGCAGAATGACTGATTCCCTTCTTGTGATTAACAGGCCTCGTGGTGCGTGAGGTGAGCATCGAGATTTCCCGGCAGCAGGTGGAGGAGCTCTTTGGGCCAGAGGACTACTGGTGTCAGTGTGTCGCTTGGAGCTCCGCTGGGACCACAAAGAGTCACAAGTCTTACGTTCGAAATGCATGTGAGTGTCGAAAGAGGTCGATTTATAACAATTCCTGAGTAATAATAATAATAATACCAAAATTAACCCTTGGATTTGATATAGCACTTTTTACGTCTTTTAGACGTCTCAAAGCGCTTCACAGAATATACCGTAAAGTGTACATTTTTTATGGGCAAAATGCGGCAGCCGACCGCCGTGGGTTGAAGTGACCATATTTATTGTTGGGTTTTATATTTTCTTGAGGGATTATTATCAGGTGTGTGGAGTAAGGAAACTTGTCCAAGGTTTCAATGGTCTTCCCAGGGAGGCTGTTGTGGGTGGACGTACTCATCTTTTGTCGGTTCTGCATATGATGGAAAGTTCATACTGACTACGCTTTAACCATATAACGCAGCCAGGGGGTGACACTCCCTGTTACCATGGCAGATAGATTCTCCGTTAGTGGGTATAGCGCACACTAAGCACTTACAGCTTATATCATACATAGCGTATACAACACACCTACTTGCTTTATACCAGATCATCACAGCACAGAGACCCAATTTCTCCCTCCTCCCCGACCATTCCCCCCCCCCCACCCCAGGGCTGGTGACAGATGTCCAAATAGTAGCAATCGCCTTCTCCCGACAGGGATGCTTGATAGGCTCATTACTGTGTCAGTTCCCATTTATCCCAACTGGCGAAGGGGCTGGACGCTGAGCAAGAGAGGAGGGGAGGGGAGGGGAGGTCGGCATAGCTGTGGTCGAAGAGGTACATTTTAAGGTGGGAATCAGAGAAAGATAAAGAGAGTGCCAAGGCGGAGGGACCAAGGGAGGGAATTCCAGTAGAGACGGCAAATAGCGGCTAAGGCACGGACACTGATGGTGCAGCACAGCTGAGTGATGTGGCAGGCAGTGGAATGGGGGTGTGAGCAGGTCAGAGACTGTACCAGATCGTGTTCCGGGAGCGGGATTACGACCGTCGGGTGGGAAGTGTCACACTGAGTGTCGGAATTGTTACTGATAAGAACATCTCTCGGGACAAGCATCCACTGGCTGTAATTTGCAATCCAAACTGGTCTAACTGGTCCAAACAGGTGGTTAGCTTAGGGAGTGAATCCACTGCCCCCACCCAGGCTCGGAAATCTACCAACAGTTGAATGTTTGGATCCCAACTTTCGGCCTGTTAATAATAAGAATCCTTGCAATTGATATAACCTGATCACGTCGTTGAGACGTCTCATAGCGCTTCACAGAATATATTGTAAAGTGACTGTGTATTTTCTGGGCCAAACGCGGCAGCCAATTCCGCACAGGAGTTATAGCTAGCTGTTATAATTAGTTCATTATAATTATAACGGGTGCCAATAATTAGTGAACGTCGAACGTCTCCTTCTTGTTTAAAGCCATGATGTCAAATCGTGTTTATTTTTAATTACGGCTTTCAAATTGTCTTTAAAATCTGTACTTTCCATAAAAGATGTTCCTGTTTAATAAGAAAAAAATGCAAGTCAAAGGGACTCTTAATACATGTTTGTGAATGTCTAGTCTGGTATAGCTCTGCATATTCTTCTTCCCCCAAACTTTCTGTCAAAACAAGTCATATACTGGAATGAAAGTAACATACACCCGAGACTGAAATGGGAAAATGAATTTATCTTTATGACAGCAATACTACTTTGTTCTGTGTATCTGGTTTGCATCCAATTTCTCCCTATTCATTACTCCACGTGCCCATAGCTCTGCCTTTAAGGCTTCCAATGTCTCTCAACAGATCTTTCAGACACGACACAGGATATCCCTGAGGTTCTGGCTGAACTGTCTGTGAAACCTGATTCATATCATCCGAATGAAACTCACTGGCAAGGCCACCGTCTGTAATTGTACCAGTTAATGTCAGCAATGTCTAAAGGCAGAGGAAAGGTTCAACTAATGATTTGACTCGAGTAAGCAATCTGACAGCACTCGGCTAATTGACGAGGCTTTAAAAGAGCCTTGTGCTATAACTAAAATAATCTGACATCCAGAACCAGACTGAACGATCTGTGACACTTTCTCTTGGAATAAAAAAAAAGTAATAGTAATTATTTTGTAATTTCAATTGCATCGACCTGATCATTTCCTTAGGTTGCCAGCGCTGTCCTTTCTGAATTGGACCTCCACTTCCTCGGTAGCATTGGTGTTGTAATACTATAACCTATGTTTTTATGTGTTTGTGTGTGCGTGCGTGCGTGTGTGTAAATAATAAAATAATTTACAAAATTGCTTAAAATGGATCAACTGGTAAGTCCGCTGCCAGCAGGAAATTGTTGAAAGAGTCACCCTCCAAGCACACAAAAAAAAATGGCCTTGGAAAAAATACTTTTGATTGCTTTGGAAGAGGGAAGAGAACCATCTTCATCACAGCGGCCTCACATCTCAGCTCTGTGTTGGGAAATTCACGCCCATGAGTTTCATCTCTTAAGGAAATAGAGGGCTTTAGGTGAGGGGATCAGGAGAGGTGGGGAGCAGGGAGTAGGAACACCAGCACGGACTAGACTATTCATCCACAGCTTCGGGCAGTGAGTTTCACATTCTCCCTACCCTCTGTGCGAAATATTCCTCCTAAATTCTCTTTTTAAGTCCCCGAGCCCTGATCTTATACTTGTGTCTCCTGCTTGTGGACTTCCCAACAAGGTTTATCGCAAAGAGCATCTCAGCTGTAAGGAAAGAAAAGGAAACCGTTGAGGCAGTGGGGGTTCCAGAGGCAAAAGGGATCGCGGTTTAAGGCACAACCACTGCCGGTGGTCCGGAGGGGTCTGGGGAATGTGCTGCAGGCCAGCGGCAGCTGAGTGAAGGGGTGGGCAGAAGAGCTTGCGATTTTTAGTGAAGGAGCGTGTGACATTCAGCAGTCCAGCTCCGAGAGGAATGTGTTGTTTTTGTAAGTAAACATTTCACATTTTTTCTTGGTGGGCCAGTGGGAACCCCATCTACCTTGCAGACAGCAGTCAGATACATCGCACAGCCGCTGTGGTAAATGTTTCAAATTCTCACTCCTGCGCAGACAGTGTATGGAAGTCGGGTTGAAAATTCAGATAATAATAATAATAATAATAATAATCCTTGCAATTGATATAGCGCTTTTCACGTCGGGAGGACGTCCCAAAGCGCTTCACAGAACACACTGTAAAGTGAATTGACTGTATATTTGTGGGCGAACGCGGCAGCCAATTGCGCACAGCAATGTCCCACAAACAGTCGTAGATTGAAAATGACCAATTTATTATTGTTTTTGGTTTTGGAGGGTTGTTCGCAACCAGGATATCGCGGTGCTAGGTTGGGATTTCTGGTTTGCAGATTAAACTGCACGATTCGCTTCTGGGTTTACGGAGTAACGACAATTTCCCAAAGCGCATTTAGCCACTGGTGTTTGCCTCTCCCTGTCGGTTGTCGGAATTTAGAGGCCCTTTTTTCCCACCCAAGAAAGAGCCTGAAAAGCAAAACAAGGCGACTTTCCAAGATTTTCAACCTTGGAGTAAACTGACATTGGAGCCTAGCACTCAAGTCCATCTGTTCCTTTCCTCTCTGCCACTCTCACCCACTTCCATCCCACCGTCCAGTGCAACAGCTGGACACGTTAAAGTAACACAGAAAATCTATTGGTTCATGTGTGCGCTGACCCAACATGACACAAATAACACAAGTGTTTTTTTGGCTGCCTAACAGAATAAACAGGGACAGCTTTACCACATCCCGCTGTGTACATTGCTAGTGCTAAGCTTTAATAATAATAATAATCCTTGCATTTGATATAGCACCTCATCACGTCATTGAGATATCTCAAAGCGCTTCACGGAGTGTATTGCAAAGTTAATTCAATTCACTGTGGATTTTTGGGGTGAAACGAGGCAGCCAATTGCACACAGCAATGTCCCACAAACAGTCATGAAGTGAATGACCAAATATTTTTTGGGGGGGAGAATTATTACCCTGGAACAGTGATCCGCCAATCGACTAGCAAGCGGGTTCCTACTTGCTGCTAGGTTAACACAGGCGTATGGAATAAGGAAACTTGCCCAAGGTTTCGCACCGCCCAGGAATCAAACCCTGGTCCTCTGGCCTGCGAGGCGAGCGTGCTAACCACTACACTATGGGACTCCTTCATGAATCCGAACACTGTACCGTCCCAGTGATACTTGATATGTGGGAAGGAAGAGGTAGGAGTGAAGGCAGGCGATGTTTCGGAGGCAAGGGAAATCTGAGTGGGTGAGAGCACGGTGTGGAGTTTCCTCCAAGGTCAGAGTCGACCCTCTCGGTCAATGGATCAAGGTATTCAGAGCTCTCTTCAACCTTAATGTCGGGGAAGGCTGGCTGCTATTTACAGTATATCTTGCATACTGGTGTTGGGACATCTTCCTGATGTGAAAGGCAGTAATAATAATAATAATAATAATACTTCCATTTAATATAGCACCTTAGCACGTCTTTGAGGCATCTCAAAGTGCTTCACAGGAATATACTGTTGTGAATTGACTGTATATTTTGTGTGCGAAAACAGTACACCAAATGCAAGGATTATTATTATCACCATTATTATTATTATTATGATGATTATTATACCCAACGCTCTGTGACTCTATCCTTCCTGGATGGCACTGCGTAAATGAAAGTTGTTGTTATCGTTTTTGCTGCTATTGTGAAGTCAGCAGTTTTGTGACATTGATCGTGTGATCAGTGGAGAATCTTATTCTCACTAAAATGACAGAAAAATCGTGTGCCGACACGCATTCTAAAGCAGCGTGGCTCGCTTTTCAGCTCCGAGCGAGGCTGTGGCACTTACTTGCACCTGCTTGCAGGCAGGGCGAAACCTTGGGCAAGTTTCCTTACTCCACACAGAGCCTAATAATAATCCCTCCAAAAAACAAAAACAGTAATAAATTGGTCATTTTCAATCTACGACTGTTTGTGGGACATTGCTGTGCGCAATTGGCTGCCGCGTTCGCCCACAAATATACAGTCAATTCACTTTACAGTGTGTTCTGTGAAGCGCTTTGGGACGTCCTCCCGACGTGAAAAGCGCTATATCAAATGCAAGGATTATTATTATTATTATTATTATCATTCCTAGACGCTTGAGAGGTTAACAGTATGTATGTCTCCTCTGTTGTCCAGACCTGCGCAAGACCTTTGAACAAGAGCCATTAGGGAAGGAGGTATCGATGGAACAGGAGGTCCTGCTTCAGTGCCGCCCACCTGAAGGTATCCCGTTGGCTGAGGTGAGTGTCCGTCAAGGCGTAGCCTGGTTTCGATGGGCGCTGAGTGGATCTGCTCTGATGCAAATGCGGGGCCCACATTTCAAACAAGTGTAGTGTGATTAATGGGTTGTAATAAGACGGTGCTTTTGGTCGAAGGAGGTTGATTGGGAAAAACGAGTGGCTCTGCATCCCTTTAAAACATGCTGCTGAGCTGTTCTTCAACCACCATGTTTCTCCCATCTAACAAATTTAACGACTGGGCTCTACACGTTCCGTTTCAGCGGTGGTGACCGAAGGCAATGCTAACAGCGCTCCTGCTAAAACTGCTCGTGAATCAATGGCCGATGAGTGTAGGGTTGCTCCAGCATCGTTAAGGCGCTGCGGAAGGTATGCAGAAGTCACCTGACAAGTGGCAATTGATTAGGATTAGGAAATTGTAAAAGTCCAATCCAGAGTTTGAATGCAACGAGGCGAGTGTGCCATTAGCGAGGAGTGTCCCAACAATCCTCCAGAGACTTAGACACATACCCATTACCAGCCCTCCAGGAATCAAATGCATTTACACGCTTTCCCCTCAAGACCACCAGAAATTGGCCGCAAAATAGCCTTTCATTAGGCTATTGTGGCTGCAATCCCTGTGCACCCATTACACCTTCATCCGAGGTCATAAATAAGTGCTGAGCTGACTCCATAATTTTCTTAATTCTACACGAAGACGCAGATTTGGGCAATTGTACACAAAGGATATTAATTCTTTGACTGTTGAAATCCTGGAATTGCATCTAGACACTGCTGTACATTAGCGGTTACAAACTAAAACAGTAAATATGCTTTATTACAGGCAGTCTGTCCCATCAGCAGAGAGACAAGAGAAATTGGACCTACTTTAACTGGAACAGAAAAGGAAGAGAGGTGACCTAGTAGAGGTCATTTAAAATGATGAGGGGTTTTGATAGAGTCGATAGGAAGATTTTTTTCTACCGGTCAGTGATTTATGGGCCGGAGAATATCAATGCAAGAGAGCAAGAAAGCAGAGAGAACTTTAGGAGGAATTGTTCTACACAGAGGGTTGTCAGAATGTCCTGATGGGTGTGGTGGATCTGTAGTAGCTTTAAAGAGGGAACTGGATAGACATTTAAAAGGGAATATATTGCCCACAAAATAGACAGTAATATCCTGTGCAGCGCTTTGAGAAGTTTAGGCGACGTGATAAGGTGCTGTACCGAATGCAAGGATTATCATTGATTTGCAGGAGGAAAGGCAAATAAATGGGACTGAATGGATTGTTCTTTCAGAGATCCAGCAAGGACATGATGGGCCAAATGAATTTCTTCAGAGCTGAAAATATCTATGGTTTTCTGGTCTAATATCCTATTGGGATAGTCTTACCTTAACAGTTTGTAATGAAGTGAGCTGGAATTTATGAAATGAGCTGTTTGTAATCTGAAGTTCTGTTGCGTAATAATAAAAAGATATCTTTTTGATTATAACACCTTATCACACATTGTTGAAAGGTCTCAAAGTGCTTCACAGGATTCTTACTTATTCTGTGAAGTGCAGTGACCGTGTATTTGTAGGCGAATGTCCAAAACGCTCCTTTTCTCTAGATTGGTTTGATGTTGGGGGTCTAACTTGTGGTCTAAATTGTATTCCCATTGGAAACCCATTACCATGTTTAAAAGTATCCAAACCAAACAGAGAGTTCCATGCAAAAATGCATGGGAACTTCCACATGTGTAGATGGGATGAATGGAACTCTGTCTGGTTTAGACACTCATAAGCATAGTGATGAGTTTCTGCATGTGAAGGACACTCGGCTGACCAAAAAAAATGATCTCCTAGGATTCTCTTAGAGTACACGTTGACATCCTCTCGTGTATATTCAGTAATTCCTGTATAGGCGTGTTAATCTGATGGTGGACCTCTGCCAGAGATTCCAAAGGAGTAGAGTGATCCCAGCAAGCATGCAACAAAAGATCAGAGCAATGACATGTAGAATTGTTGGTGCAATAGTTGGTCGAGTGTCAGTAGTTCAGGTCAAGCATTGAGCTGACAGGTTGCGTTACCTCAACATAGGCATCACTTTCCGTTTTCAAAAATATACAAAAAAGGCTTTCTGTTAGCTTTCCTGTGGTAATTGTTCAACTTGATCTGCCATTAGCATATAATAAATATTGAAATCTACATCCTAACCCTAAACCTATCAATCTTTGGCGCATGGGTACAGTATGGGCTCCGCGAGCGCATATTACTAAAATATGAAGACCATTATCTTTTCCCTATTGAATGAACAAATTATATTTATTCATCACCCAGTTCATTAAGTGTTCGTGGATACGGAATTCAAAAACGGAACAGGGGTTTGAATGATTAATAATTTAGAATATCACTCTATCCATATATTTTCCTTCCACCAATCGGAACCGCTCTGCTGCGGTGGATGGCCAGATGATCCTGGTCGAAAAAATACACCTGGGAATGTTTACACTTAACTTTTGAGGATAATCGGACAATTTGCTGTGCATTGCTGGCAGTAAATCATCTCGCGCGGTGTATCAACTTAGTGCACTTAAAGAGGTGCCTGCCACATTTTTCCATGTGCGTGGGTTTTACTTGGAGAAATGAATGTTCGATACCCGTCAGCCAAGTTTACCCAATTGGGCGAGTGCAGGGCAGCCCTGTTATAACTCGACGATCAAGTCCGTAAGCTGCGAAAGAACGAAGCATGAAAACACGGCCACCTTCCAGGTCATCAAGTGGCATCACCTCCTGGTGTTATGGGCACGCGCACGACGTGCAGGAAGCCCTACTGACATCACTTGCTTCACACAGTGACATCAACGGTGCTTCCTATTCATCTCGTACCGGCGTAGCCCACAGGAAGTGAAATCTTTTGACAGCCTGACGATCCGGGAGACGGCACTTTTTAGCGCAGAAAAGCAGGCAGCAAATTGGCGAGCCCGAGCTCTACCAGGTCGCGTTGTAATGAGGTCACCTTGTTACTATGGCGTGCAACACAGATCGAGGCAGACCTCTGCCTGAAGATTTGGAAGTAGAAGACGATATGAGGCGCAGATTATTCATGCCTTTCAAATGCAGTGCATCATTCAAATTTAAACAAGATAATAACTGAACAAGGCAGTTTCTTCTTAAGCATCAGGGGTTTGATGTATCGCCATATGCATCGTTGTCTGAATCAGTCTGAATCTCAGTCTGAATGATCGCAAGTGGATATCCACGAACTGGATGCATGTTCCCGTAACATATTGACTCAGTCGCATATCCATCATTCTGGTGTGAGGGACTGGAGGCATATCGTCCTTCTCCTCTCTCAGACTGCAAATTCTACAAATTCAGCGCTCCGAGATGCTGTCCGAGTGAAAGGTGCCATATAACTGTAAGGTGGTCTTGCTAAGCAGACTGAGGCTTATTTGATGCTGATCAATAATGCCACTTTGGAGCTGCTCATTAGTTAGCTCTGCCTGACACTGAGGACTTCCTCTCACTTTTACTGGAGAAAGTGAAACAATTCAGTGAGAAGCATTGAGGTACATTGGATCATCAATGTCTTGTGCCACAGTGTTATGAGGAGCTCACGCTCATCATCTCCCACGTTATGAGATTCCTCTGTCCATCATGCTATATTGAACAGGTACCAGAAAGGGACCTCTCTGGGCAGCAACAGGGGAGTGTGTCAAAGAGGCACATCTCACACGACGGTGACAGTTAGGAGCAGGTTCCTCATGTAGTGGAACTCAATCCAATGAACACTGGGAATACTTAAGGCATCATGTAGGACAATACTAATAAATCTTGCATTTGGTTTAGTGCATTTCACATTGGGAGGATGTGCCAAAGCTCTTCATAGGATTTATTTGTGAAATAGAGTGTAATGGAGTATTTGTAAGTGAATTTGGCAGTCCAATCGCACACAGCGATGTCCCACAAACAGCCATGAAGTGAATGACTAATTTTATTTGGGGGATGAGTGGCCAGGACACTGGGAAAAATTCTTTTTTATGAGCAGCACCATGGGATGTTTAACGTCCACCTGAACAGGCAGCGGAGACCTCGATTTAACGTTTCATCTGAAGGATGACACCTCTGACAACGCGACGCACCCCCATTGGAGTGTCAGCCTAAGCTATGGGAGTTCAAGTCCCGATGTGGGGCATGAACCCACGACCTTCTGACTCAGAGGCAAGAGTGAAACCAAATGAACCAAGCTGATGCCTTGGGAGGAAGTCGGTCAGGTGACTAGCATGATGTCTATTTAAACTAGGTACAAGGCAAGGTCTTGAATTTTCTCCATGGTAACCGATTCCAATTGAATGCTTTATTAGAGCTGATGACAATTAGCACTTTTCTTTTGAAATTCACTCTACATATTACATCCAATTTCTTACTTTTGAAGTCACAGAGGAGATCAAAGACAAGAACCTGGTAAAAGCATCATAGCTCTCCTCTACGGCCATAATCATTACATGTGATAATGTAAAATCCTTAATAACTATAAATATCCTAAGTGACAATTATTGGTTCAATTTGCACAAGTTGGAAGATCCATTGAAGATTACACAGAAAATGGAAAAACGTAATACCAACATCTGCCTCCAACATCTGAAGATCTGAAGCTCAATGTAATGAAGTCGACTTCCCCATATTATTTTGCCTTGTCTGAAAAAGGGTATTCCAAATCATCATTCTCATTACGGTTGCTCCGAACATGGCTGTAAAAAGTGCCGCTGTGTGTTCCAGTTAACTGTTGCAGTTTCGTTTTAGTTTCGTGCCTCTGACATTTCGCTGGAGATAAACAGAGGTCCGAAATAATCCGCCACCCCACCCCAGCTCCAAAATACAGTCAGTTAAAGTCAAACAGAACCTGAACCTGCAATGGAATAAGAAAAGACTGTTTAACCTATTAAACCAGTTCAATCCACAAAGCCGCCCAAAGCCTTCCCCACTCTCCCATTCCTGTATCTCAGGGAAATGTTACTCCCTGATTCCTGAAAGAAGTATAA